TTAACATTTCACACTCTTTTTATTAGCTTTTATTCTACCCGGGCACGCTGTAATTGGCCTCAGCTGTTGTGGTGTCCCTGCCGACCCCCTTTTGTTTTGTTTTTTCTTCGGCAAAGCTAATAAAATAAAAGATAAAGTAAAATAAATAAATCTAATCAGTATCTATAGAGGGGCACTCAAGCAAAATATGCTGTTTTTATTTATATCTTTAAACCACGTGTTGTGTTATTTAGCGATATAATGACCTTATTTTTACCTTACCTAAAAACACTTAGCTCAGTTTTTTACATCATAGCTCTTTGTCGTAGCCCGTGTTTTATACTTGGTCCCCGGACGTTTTATACACAGTCCGCACTCCGTAGTCCGCAGTCCGCAATCCACAGTCCATATTTTATACTGACTGACTCCGAACTGATTTCTGGGAAATGTTTCCAAGATGGCGGCTATGTCGTTTCTCCGTCTTGCTGAGTCGCTTTCATTGAAAACAGTAAGTACATACCTTTCTTTCTGAGGTTTTATTGCTCAGGCCATTAACTACTATTTTACTGTTATCGCTCTAGGTTGTAATCAGACAATCAGGGCTTACTACTTGGCTGGTTGTAGTAGCGCACGTGAACTTTGCATTTAGCTTATAATTTAGTTAGGGCTAAAAGCGAAGCTTCCGTTGATATACTTCGAGTAAAAGCAACAAACTTTTAACTCTAAACTATGAAAAAGAAATGTTCAAATCCCTACTTAACATTTGGAGCCTTTCATTTACCATTTGAGGAAGGGTTTCAGTTGATTAAGAATAAAATACCCGGCAAACACATCTGAAGTGCCATCTAGGTATGTGCCGCCCCAGAGGTAACCGGTCAAGTCGCCCGAAAGTCATCTCGCCCGAAGTCATATCGCCCAGAACCAGAGTTATGTCGCCCGAAATACATAGTCATGTCGCCCACAATTCTATCGAGTGTATAAACTCGAAGAAAGTAACATCTTAAGTAAATCGCAAGGAATAAACTCGTAAAATTTTCACTCGCTAACCTATGCAAATATGAAGTTAAACAACGACTCCAACATCGCTGTTCATTTCAGCGTTGTTCGTTGTTCGTTGCCATGAACTAAGCCGTTCATTCTACAGGCGACATATCGCGCGACATGACTATAAATTTCGGGCGACATGACTCTGGTTTCGGGCGACATGACTTCGGGCGAGATGACTTTCGGGCGACTTGACCGTAAAGCGCCCCAAAGGGTAGGATTTCTGCACCGTTTTAGTCTGAAAACGGTTATAGACTTTGCTTCTTTTGGTCTGCAAACGGGTATGGTTTTCAAGGGAACTACCGGAGTGTACGAACGTATTTATTGTTTCAATTCCAAATTAGCAAGACAGAAAGAGAAATAATTTTATGTGAATTCAAAATGGATTTTAAGAATTCTTTTTCGTTGCTGTTCTAATCTAAGTAATGATGACATAATTTCTTAAAGGCCAGGTCTGAGAATGGGTATGGATTTTAGACGTCAGGTGTGAAAGAGGTGTGAAAAATGACATTTTTTGGTCTGAAGTAGGGTCAGTATTTGGAGAACTGGGCAGCACACCCCCACCAAGAATTCCCAAGAGTACCCCCGGGCATCGAGCTCAAAGTCTTCTGTTATACCGAACCTGAAAGTGGACTCGGGGGTGGGGGGATTCTAAAGGTTGAGGATCATTAAAGTTTCAAATTGATTGCTGTATTATAATTTATTGCATATTATTGGGTTTGAAATAGAAAACAAAGAAAGGGCTAAAATATTGTTCAAACGAAGGACAGAACAGTTGATTGAAATGTAAATTTTCGGGGGCAAATATGCAACAATTATTCAAAGCAACATTTGTGCCCTTTGTTTACATCAAGTTTGTGTAGTTGCACATGCTGATCATGCAATCACAATTTTTAAAAAAAATAGTTTTGATCCTAAAACTGCACATTTCACTTATTTGTCCGTTTTCTCGATGATCAAAACATGTACTTTTTTAACTCAAATTGCCATCTCAATTTAATCTATTCTTATTATGCTTCTTCTTGAAATATGCAGAGACCATGTTGGAATGTTATTTTCTCAGTTTTTTCCCCAGACTGGGAGAGTTCTGATACAATGCAGGCAAAAATAAATTCACAGATTTTTGCAAAGCAATTGAACCGGTCAAGTGTAACTTTATTTAAATATCCCCTCAAAATTAAAAAGCACAAGGTAAAATTTTAAACCCTCAGAAAACTGCAAACAATCACCTAGTAGTTGTTCTAGAGATTTACGTTTTACGGGCTTACATAAATAAGTTTCTCAGTAGCTTACTGGCCAATGAAAAACACTACTTTTAATACCAAAATTGGTAAATTAAACCAAAGAAAAATTTCCTGCACTTTGAAATATTAGACAATATTAAATTTACTGAAAAGTGTATACTTATATCAATTCCAAACAATTAACCAGAATTAACGCACTGCAGAGAAAGCTAACAATAAGCTTTTCAGACTTGAATGTCTGAAGTTTTGAATTAAAGTTGCAGGTTCTTTTTTTAGCTTTTTTTGCAAAGGTAAAACGGAAGAAATAAAACACCGAGGCTAGTGTCAATATTTGAGCAAGATCTAATGTGACATTGACATTGGCTTACATGTAGTGGTTGTACGGACAGTCTGCGTTTGGACGTTTGCTTATGTCATAACCAAATTTTCTCGGATCCATAGGTTTCCATATGTCTTTAGCTTTGAAGCTCCACTAGTACTGGCGCATTGGGAAGCTCTGCCATAAGCGTACATCTCTGCACTGATCTCTACGATCAGGCATTCGCGTTCCTGTAAAGGAAGCATCTTTTCGCACCAGTTTCATTTCAGTAAGGCTACAACTTTTGACAAGTTATTGATGATTATTTTACAGACGGATCCTTGTGTTATTGTGATGTCTGTAAGTAGGCCAGGGATATTTGTGAGACCCCTGGGAGCTCTGCATATTTTGTGTACATTTGTACCTTTCCTTATTCTCCGGTATCTTAATATCCTTAATTCTCTGTTGCCAGTTTGTTGTACATGTAAACGCGTAATAACAAATACTTACGTATTTGATGGAAAGGAAAGGCTTTCCCTTGTATCTATGGCGCTCGATATTACATTTTTTAACAAAAAATGGAAAGAATTTCTTGTGAGAGTCTTTTTCTTTAGCTCTGTATTCTTCTATATTGATTATTAAACCCCTTTTATCAGAAGAGTTTTCCCCTTNACAGACGGATCCTTGTGTTATTGTGATGTCTGTAAGTAGGCCAGGGATATTTGTGAGACCCCTGGGAGCTCTGCATATTTTGTGTACATTTGTACCTTTCCTTATTCTCCGGTATCTTAATATCCTTAATTCTCTGTTGCCAGTTTGTTGTACATGTAAACGCGTAATAACAAATACTTACGTATTTGATGGAAAGGAAAGGCTTTCCCTTGTATCTATGGCGCTCGATATTACATTTTTTAACAAAAAATGGAAAGAATTTCTTGTGAGAGTCTTTTTCTTTAGCTCTGTATTCTTCTATATTGATTATTAAACCCCTTTTATCAGAAGAGTTTTCCCCTTTGACACTCAATTGACCAGAATCCATGTCTAAATATCCTGTATCCATATGATTTTTTGATTGCCCAAATTAATGTCCAGTTATACAGGTACCTTATATAATTCAAACCCAGGGCTCGAAATTGACGGTAACCCATTAACCAATGGTTAGTAGTTTCTAACATTTGGTTTATACTAAAAATGAGCCTTACTATCCTGACATGGTTAGTAAAAATTTCTGTCATTGAAAAATTTTACACCTGTTTCTTTTTTGCATAACGTTGTATTCTATCTTGATCAATTTATTGTTCTGAAAGGTATGCTCACAGCATGATTGAACAACATGAAAAATGCATATTTCACAGTGCTCATGGTAACCAGGCTGGGGAGATCTGGACACAGCCTTAATATTAATATCTTTTGCAAAAGGCTCGTTTGCATCGAGCAACCTATTTATTCATTTATCAGATCAGATACAGAGATGCTTGGATGGTTTTTTCAGAAAAAGGTCACCCCCCAAAATTTGTGAATAGGAAATGGAAGATAGCGAATAACGACAAAGAAGAACTAGAGTTTCAAACACTAAGGAAGGCTCCCACATGGAGGGTGTATGAAGAAAGAAAGAGCTTTCCACCAAGAGTAAAAAAAAGGTGTTGAACTGGCTTCAGTTTTGATGAGTCTAAACAAACAACGTTTTGCAGTGTTTATGATGAATTTCCTGCCTTTGCGTAACTTGATTGAAAGGAATATGTAAATGAGCATTAAATCTTTAATAATACATGTATATAGATTTAGCCAGGGCTAAAAGTGAAGCTTTGGTTAACAATACTTATAAACAGAAAAATGGAGATGGCAATGAAAATGCCATCAAGATCAATAGATCTAATTCTATTTAGCAAAATCAAATTTGCATGTGCAGCACGCTTTTTTGTCTTTCTTCCCCCTTTTTTTGCATTACTACAATACCACTTTGTACAACTAAAATGTCAAACTTCCTAATTACACATTATTTTTATGGGGGAATTGTCATATATGTGCTTACAAAAGATTTTGTTTCCTTTGTTCATGACAACCACACTGTCGCAATTAGGAACCTGAATTGGTATTGTTATTGGAATTCATGCATTGCGTGCAAAACCTACAGATTAGTCAGTTATCTGCTAGCGGATAACTGACTAATCTAGATTGCACTGATCTCCCAATTTAGCTGTAGGGTCTTAGCCAATGTGAAGACAGATAGTGAGTACAATGTATAATAACAGAAATTAACATCACAAATTGTTCTATGTCTTGTCCCTACAGGTTACTAATAAAAATACCAGTGTATTTTACTGCTTCTCATGTTTGAATTACCAACACTGTTGCTGGCAACATAATTTTTTCAGTTTGATGTAAACTGTGTAAAATTGAATGATAGTAAGACTGGTCTCTTTCAGGCTTGTGGCTGCAAGAAAGTGAGATGGGCATCACGCCTGGCTGCTAAGATCTCAAGATCAAGGGTCAGTCCTACAAGAAGTTCCAAACAAGCTAAACATGTGAAGCCAGTGAAACAAACTGTGGTAAGTTACCAAACTGTAAGGTTTCTGCCTATGACTTGTAATTAATCTACAAGCAAGAAAGAATGACTGAAGACTTGTATGTTAGCTACATGCGTCTGCTTCAGTGTACCAGGAACTAAACAATGTACTTTTTAGCAAATTCGTAAGTTTGTAAAGTAACCATTTACACAACCTTTTTCTAAGAGGTTGAACGGAATCATTATTTTTTAAACATTCATTTTGAAGGTTTAAAATAGACTATCAGTTTTTTTCCCTGTACAGTCAAATCCTGCTTTGTAAATAAAAGCTTCATGAACACTTTGTAATTGTGGACAGTTCTCTTTGTCCTGGGTGTAAGCCCTAATATTTTCTATTCTTTCAACCCACTGAAGGTAATTCCTTGATAAGGATGTACTATTCAGCAATAAAAATACACGTACAGGTGTATGGGGTCATGAGCCTGCACGCTTATTCTTCTAATATGTTTTTACTAAGTTACATGCAAAATGTTAAAAACTTGAATGACTGCCAAAATTTGTTATTTCATAGTGCTCAGAAACATTGCTTATGTTTCCTTCAGTCTCTGCATGAAAAGGGTTCAACTGTGTCTTTGTTAAGAACTCTTTGTATGTTATTTTGTTACATGTACATAGAATATCAGACACCTTAAATTATAGATCTTCTAAATATGCATAAATATGAAATGTACATTCCTGGTTATCCCAGTAATCCTGATCATCCCAGCCGTCCCATCCAGTCAACCCAGTCATCCGGTCATCCCAGTTATTGCAGTCATTCCAGTCATCCATGTCATCCAAATCATTGCTGGGTCATTCCTGTCATTCAAGTCATCCCAGTCTTCCTAGTCACCGTGGTCATACAAGTCGTTCCTGTCATCCCAGTCATCCTAGCCATCCCAGCCATCCCAGTCATCCCACTCATTCAAGTCCACCCCACCATTTTCTTACCCAGTTGATCCAAGTCATCCCATGTATACCAGTCATTTCTGTCATCCCTGTCATCTCCAGGCTACCCACTTAACCCAGTCTTCCCAGGTATTAGAGTCATCTTCGTCATCCCAGTGAACTCAGTCATTCTCATAATTCTGGTCAACTCAGCTATCTGATGGTCATTCCAATTAACCAGGGTACAAAGAAAGTCATTTTTACAGCTTGTTAGTCGGGCAAGCTTTAATACTAGCCCAAATGTCATTTCAACTATCCCCCAAAATTATTTGATGAGCAGAATTGATTTCACACTTCTTCTGTAAGTTGAATTCCTCAAAATGCCTCACTTGCCCGTCAGGCAAGTTACATTGTAAGAACAGAATCCACTAACCCAATAGCAAAATCCACTAGTCCCAGGCTATCGGACACTGCTTTCATTCACTCTAGTAATCCAAGTAATGACACCAAACTCACCCAAAAGTCACCCTAGTCATCCAAGTCACCCTAGTTACCCAAGTCAACCTAGACACACTAGTCATCCTAGTCACCTAAGTCACCCTAGTCACTGTAGTCACCCAAGTCAACCTAGTCACCCTGGTCATCCTAGTCACCTTAGTCACCTAAGTCACCCTAGTCACTGCAGTCACCCAAGTCAACCTGGTCACCCTAGTTAACCTAGTCATGTTACTCACCCAAGTCAACCTAGTCACCCTAGTCACCCAAGTCACCCAAGTCACCCTAGTTACTCAAGTCACCCAAGTCACCCTAGTCACTCAAGTCACCCTAGTCACCTTAGTCACTCAAGTCACCCTAGTCACCCAAGTCAACCTAGTCACCCAAGTCACCTTTGTCACGCAAGGCTTCCAAGTCACCCTAGTCTCCTTAGTCAAACTAGTCACCCTAGTCACCCTTGTCACCCTAATCACCCAAGTCACCTTGATCACCCAAGTCCCCCGAGCCCTTGTCACCCTACGCATCCTAGTCAACCAATACAGCTTGTCAGCATTGTCACCCCACTCATTGAAATTACCCTGGTCACCCCAATTACACTAGACGTCCTAGTCACCCCAGCCAGCCTAGTCACCCTAATTACCCTCATCAACTTTAAAAACTGCTGTTTTACCTTGTTAATGTGGTACTCTTACCTTGTTTTAAAATGACTTGTTCTTCTTTTTGTAGTCAAGTAAAGTAGGAACTACGCTCATTTAATTTAACTTGTTGTTCAACTGTTCAATAGGATTTGAAGACTGCACTTACAAGACACCTGGAAAAACGGAGAGATTTTGCCAAGCAGGAAGCGCGAAAAATTAACGTCCCTTCCTTAAAACAAAGAAAAGCTGTTGGAGAAGATTCCATTTCTAAAGGACGCAGAGAGATAATAATTGAGCCCTCGTGTTCAAAGGTAATCGTATAGAAAATTGGAAATTTATATCCAAACTTGGGAAAAGTGCTTTAGCGAGAAAAAAAATGTAACAGTTTTTTTTTAAAAAGTTAGTTATGTAAATGAGGGTAAATAAGGCATTTACCTTGCAGGATCTGAACTCAGCGTCACGATTAAAGAAGAGACTGACTTGCTTACTACTCGGGTTTTTGTCTGTGTTTAAGCCTTTGTAGACTTGCAGACTTTAAATATACCGTCTTCTATTTTGAAAGTAAATTTTTTCAAGCGACAGCATGGAATTGTAAAAGACTCAAGTGGATAGAGCGCCGGCCCGGTGTTTGGGAGGTCATAGGTTCAAATCCTGTCGGAGACTCAGATTTTTTCTTTGTCCCACGCTCGTGACATGTTGATCATTTCATTTCTATATTTGTTTCTCCGAGCTTAAATTTACCATCTTTCATTTTTTCACCAAGCGTAGAATTTTTGTTTTAGTTCCAAATTTTTATTCTTTTTAGAACCCTGCCTTCACATCAGAGGAAAACAGCAAAGTGACAGGTCATTCATTTCGTTCCCTTGGTTTAAGAGAGGATGTACTGAATGGATTGAAGGATTTATCAATTTCAAAACCCACTATGATTCAGGTATACATCAGAAAATAGCTTAAAGCTTTGTTCCAGAGTTTCTGTAGTCTTCACGTTTTCAAGTTTTGTTTTCCGTTTTAATCACTGTTGAATCTTTGTTTTTCTTTATCGTCGTAGACGTAACAAAACAATGCACTTTGAATAATTATGTTCACGTTAAAAGACAACACATACAGTGTAAAAAGAGAAGTTTTTGCGTTTCCTCGAGTGCGGAAGTTTTTCACCACAAAAATAGAAAATTTCCCTTTTTAGTTTAGCAATCACTTTAACTTCACTTGTCGTAGGCGTATAGAGAAGAGAAGTCACAACGTCACAAAAAGTAAATTTTGAGAAATCATGGGAAAGGTTGGCGTATCCAGAAAGAACAAGATAAAAAGTTTCCACTCGGTCAAAATGAGCCTGTTAGTGCAAATTGGTGGGGAGATATAAGTAGCGTTATTCTCCGATGACTCCATATACGTCCTTCTAAAATAGACGTGGATCGTAACCGTTAAAATCCAATCCAATTTTAGAAAGATTTGCACGGATTCATCAGAGTATAATGGTAGTCATGTCTCCCCTCCAATTTGCACCAACAGGCCGATTTTTCGCAAGGGTTTTTTTTTTCATATTGTACATTTACAAAATCTCTCAAATTTGATCTTTTTTTTAATGACGCCACACAATGCAAAAAAGGAATCAATAAGCCTAATGTGGCTGGAATAATAGTCTTGGGTTGGAGTACAAAACAATGAAGTCATTAGTCACTACTGTCTTCTAAATACATTAGTACTAAATAAAGACTTTTTTGTAGAGAATGGCAATTCCTCTCATACTCAAACGGGAACATGTTCTATGTGCCGCACAGACAGGTAACTTTTGCTTTTAGTGGTAGCTTCTCATACTAAGGGTAACTAAATGTTCCATATCAGAGGATTATCTCCCGATGGTAACGAAGTCAAGCAGGAGGAAAAAACTTTACTGTCGACTTAGTTCCTTTAATTTTCACTTGATCGTAAGCCCTGCGCGTGCCAATACGACTTAGACTGCGACTCTCAATCTCCGCCTTTTGAACACTAACTGTTATAGTTCAGTAAAATAGATATACCCAAAGAGGCAATAAAAAACAGAAACCAGGGCCTGTTGTTTTTGTAGCAGGGACGAAATCTTGCGTGGATACCATGTAAGCAGATTGCAAAACATGGTTTTGTCGCTCGAAAGGCGAGGAAGCGTAGATCCTTGATTATATCGTAAGCTTGTCGCTCCTGTAGGGCGTGGGTGCTCATTTTTTCATCCCCACCGCGGACAGTCTGATGGAACATGGTCGGTATTAACCGCACGAATTCGATAGACCAATGGACCAATGCCAAAAATATACAACTGTTCTTAAACTAGACTCATCGCTTGCGCAGACGATAGGGCTTGTCCAGGCTACTCAGATAACGATTCTAATTCTACTGAGTTTAACTGACTTCTAAACTTGATCTGTGCTCCAGTGACAAGTGGTTGAATGCCGAATATAACCGAGAGGAACTAGTTTTTAACTACCATGTACCCAACAAACATTATAGGGAAACGTAAATTTATGTTACCGATGTTTGACGTGTCTTATCAAAATTTTAGGTACAGGAAAGACTCTCGCCTATCTCTCACCGATAGTTCACCATCTGCGAGAAGAGCAGGATCAGGGCGTGATATCACGTCTTAACAGACCTCGGGCTCTTATTGTTTTACCTAACAGGGAACTTGCTTTCCAAGTTTTAGTAAGTGGTGTCATCCTCATTATTATTGTTGTTCGCGTCAGAAAGCGCATAAGGCCTTTGTAAGTGGCACCTGATAAATATGAATTTATACATCACCATCCATTTGGATCACAACGTGAAATGACAAAACCAGTTTCCGACGTATGCGTAACGATTTTGATTTTTCCTTTTTGACAAACCCTCGGCGAGAAAACAAATAACGATAATTTCTGAGTACTTTGTGCAAATTAGAACAGACTTCTCTTGTAAAAAGTGGGTTCGTTGTCTTTTACCTTCTGATCTGTTACAATTATAGGCCCGTAAACCTTTCAAATCACTCATGATTACTGTTTTCTACTCAATGGTTCCTTAATAAACACCAAACTGCTTCGGCAGTCAGTGGAAGTAACGTGTTTTTAGCTATGCTATTTCTTTTTTAGAAAGTGGCAAAGTCGTTGTCTCATAACGCACGCTTCCGGTCAGCTCTTTTAACTGGAGGAAGAAAGCTAGTAAGTTGGAAATGATTATTGACTATATACCAGTTCTGATAGGGGGCAGCGGTACTGAGCGGTGAATGGTTTGCACTTGCAATCCGGGTGCTTCAAGTCCAAGCCTTTTTTTCGTGACATAGTCTAGCTGGTTTTGTTCTCATTTGTACCCCCCGAATTTAACTCCTCAGCAACGCTTGCAAATAGCCAACTGGTTTGCCTCCAGCTAATTGGGGTACTCGTTTTGTAATTTCAATTATTTGTTTCTGTCTTTTTTTGTGGCCTACAATTCAAACTACGGGTTACCAGTATTTGTGTGGCCCCTACACAAGGTCATTCAGTTCCCCTTGTTCTTTAACTAAAGCGGCAGGTAAATCGGATGGCCCTATGCGATATTTATGTTTTCGTTTATTTCGTTTGTATGCACATATTTTATACTGTTTAAAATTTCTCTTCCAGGCATACGCCCGTCTCGTTTATATGTTAACCTAGAACCACTTCCGGTGCTTATAAGTCGTGTTTCATGGTAGCTCTTTTTGTATTTAGCATTGTTACAAGTGATTTTATGCTTAAGCGAAGTATCATTATCTAGGGTGGACAATGCGTTTACAGCGCGGGGTAATTTCTCTTTCGAAGCATCTCCAAAAAAAAGAAAGGTTAATGAATTGTGTTTTGCTGTTGTTGTATTTTGTTTTCTTTTTCCTTAGAGAGTTTTAAAGTCAGGGTTTGAATCTCCAGTTGATCTTCTTGTCGGAACACCAGGAACGTTACTGGAATTTCTAGAAAGAGGTAAAGGGTAAAGAAGTTTAATGATCGCAATATGTTTCGTTAAAATCGCCCATGTTCAACGGTGGTAGGCCATTGGGCCTTACTCACACGGCGGCCATATTGTCCCGAGAGACTGAAAAAGCTTTGTTTTACCAGCCTCGACCTCGCAGTAAAAAACTTGGGAGCGAGGCTAGAGAGGTAAAACAAAGCAACTTTAGTCTCTCGGGACAAAATGGCCGCCGTGTGACAAAGGCCCTTTGCACGATGGCATTATTTCACTACTACGGCCAGAATCCTTTTCGTTTTCTCTTTCATATTTGAATTTGGTACCCAGTGAGGTTTAAATAACAGAGGCCGTAATTTGCACAAGAGAGCAAAACCCTGAAGGATTCTTGTCGTGGTGATAAATGACGTCACCGGTCAAATGGCTTCAAATTTTTAACCATTTCTTAGGTTTTTTTGCACCGCGTCTATTCAGGCTCCCATTGACTTTTTTTTCAAAATGTTCAGTATGTTTTGTGATCTTTAATTATCTTCTTCAGGTCGATTGTTTCTCTCGGACGTGTCTTACCTGGTAATTGATGAAGCTGATACTATGTTTGACAAAACCTTCAAAAACGACACCATGCAACTTCTTGAAACAATTAACGTAAGTATACATAAAGGTTGCGTTTTCTGAGACTTGTCTAGCTTAGAAGCATCAAACCCGAAGTCCTCCACATTTCCTACGTGGTGAAAAGCAATTCATGCTTAATGTCATTGTAAGAGGAAATAAGCTGAACTTCAGGGAAAAGTTGCTAGGTAGTCCTAGGTGATAGCCTTTCAGTACCACTGTTGCTGAAATTAAAAAATGTACGGTACATATCCCAAACCAAATGAAACCATGTAAAAGTAGAGCTGAAGAGGTTTCGTTTCTATTGTAATACTACAGGATTTCGTGCACAGACTCATAGAACTGCATCAGTATTTTCACAATTGACTTAGGGGAGCAGTTCTGGCGCGAGGATTTGTGATATCGATGGTTTCCAAGAGCAACAGTTAACTAATCACAGCTCATTGGTTTCTCAAACAATCCGGCCCAGAAGACTTACGGTCATGTTATACGAGATGATTCGCAACGAGGATTTTTAGCGCAGCACAACGTTACAACGTTGTCGCAACATTGTTTCGAATAGTTACAACATTGTTCCAACATTGCAAAGACTTGTTGCGCTAAAAATCGTCGTTGCGAATCGTCCCGTCTAACATCACCTTTAACGCAAAAAGCTTGTGTCCATTCTCCTTCAAAGTTCTGTAGTGGTTTTATTTTCGAGGTAGCATCGGCTGTGGCCTGTTTTAGCATATAGTTAATGATACATTTGTCATGTAGTTATTCTTTTCTCAGATAAGACAAGACAAACCGTCCCATCGCTCTAGTTTACCTAACGACGCGCAAGTTACTGTTGTCTGTGCGACATTACCACAAGAATTGCTCGAGGATAGACTCCAAGATATTCTGCCGGTAGGGTGGATAGAGCATATCGGCCATAAGAAAAGTTTAGCACCTTTTGGTAAGGCAGAATGCTTATTCAAGACAGGTAGCTAAAGCAGGCGGCCAAGTCCATGGGCGAAAAAAAGAATGGGAAATTAAAAACGTGTAGGCAATGGAAGGCGCGGGAGAACGTGTAGCTACTAGCCAATGAGAACGGAAACCGTGATAACGTGTAAGGAAAAGTGTAGCTGATCTTTGGAAAACGCGAAAGTGATCAAAAGCGCGGGAAGCCTTTATCGGTGCCTACGGTGGAAAAGCCTTTGTCAAAAGTGGACAAACGTGTGCCTTTTAGCAAGAGTAGAAATGAACTTATGAGTCACATGACGTGTTTCTTAAGTTTTGCCCTCTAAAAGACAAGTTAGTGTTTTTTTGAGTCAGAGTTCTTCTTAAGCAATAGTGTTCAGGTTCTTATTCAAGCATGAACATTTACCACTTAAATGTTGCTCTCCTCTTCTCTCCAGCATTTACAGGCTTGTACGTCTAGCCATCACCGTATCCTGCCACATGTGAGACACAAGTTTGTGAAAATCCCACAAAATGATAAACCAGGTAATTAATACAAAATTTGTATTTATTTTGATCGCTTTCACCGACAGAAAAAAAAAATTATAAGAAAACGATTAAATCAATAAGTAACAAATCAACGAAATGTAGGCGGTACCATTGCCACAAAAAGTTATAGTTTTAATGGCCTTTATTTGAAATCTAGTGTAGGATTTGATCCGCAGGCTCAAGCATTTCATTCTCAGACCTGAAATAGAGGAACACCTTGTACAGGATAATAAACAGTACTAAACGGGAACACAAGAAAGTACTGCTCTGTAGCTTTCACTTGAATGCGTGTACTTTAAGATGTCATTTACAGTCTCAAAAATGTGAACCACCTTGTACAACATAACAAGCACCACGACCAGTAAAAATACTTCTGAGTACAGAGCTTCTAATTGAATGGAGTTTATCCAGCCAATCGTTACTTACAAATCAGCCTTTTGGATATTTACAATGATCTTTTTGCTATTAAGGACCTTGTTTTGTTTCTCTCTTTTCATGCAGAGAAACTTTTAGAACTTCTGAGAGAAGACCTGTCGTTGCACAATCAGCGAACTGTCGTGTTCTGCAACACTACACCAAGCTGTGATTTTATAGGACATTATCTCACAAATAACGGCATCTCACATATCAAACTCCACAGCACCATTGCTATTGAGGTAGAGGAACTTAGAAGTAGTCTATCACTGGCACAGACCTACCCAGTGGGGATGGGCTTGCAGACCTTCCATGATAGGGGGGGGGG